CCTCCAGACAGGTTCAACGTGTTCCTCCTCCCCTGCCCCAACCTGGACGTTTATGGCGAGTGCAAGCTGCAGATCACCCATGAAAACATCTACCTCTGGGACACGCACAACCCCCGGGTGAAGCTGGTCTCTTGGCCTCTCTGCTCCCTGCGCCGCTACGGGCGTGACACCACCCGCTTCACCTTCGAGGCCGGACGGTGAGATGTCACCCTCGCTGGGACAGGGACCACCACCGGGTGCCTTCATCCTGCTGGGTGCATCAGGAGGTGGCACTGCTGCCAGCACCCCAGGGCAGGCCTGACACTGGGGTGATGGCCATGGCCCTCATAAAGTGCCTCACGGCTGGGGAGGTTTGGGGCTGGTGCTGGTCCCAGCTCAGCACCATGGAGGAGACAAGCGGACAGCACTTGAAGCATGGGAAGCTGGACGAGCTGCTGCCTGGGGGGGGGTGGGGTGGGTTATTTTTATTCATCCCTTGGCTTGCAGATCCCAGTGACACCCGGTGTCCCATCCCTGCAGGATGTGTGATGCGGGGGAAGGTCTCTACACCTTCCAGACGCAGGAAGGCGAGCAGATCTACCAGCGCGTGCACAGCGCCACGTTGGCCATCGCTGAGCAGCACAAGAGGGTCCTGCTGGAGATGGAGAAGAATGTCAGGGTGAGCTCCAGCCCACCCTGGGGCCACAGCTTGCAGCAGGGGGGAGCTCGGGGCACTCTGTGTCACCCTCACCCCCACCTCTCACCCACTGCAGCTGCTGAACAAGGGCACCGAGCACTTCTCCTACCCCTGCACCCCCACCACCATGCTGCCCCGCAGCGCCTACTGGCACCACATCACTGGCTCCCAGAACATGGCCGAGTCCTCCAGCTATGCCGGTGAGTCTCCTCGGCCCCCACCAAGGAGCCGCCGGTGCTCCTCCAGCCCCCCATGGGGTGTCTCTCCCCACCACGAGCCCACCCTCTGCTTCGTCCCCAGGGGAGGCATATGCAGGTGCCCAGGCCAGCTCCGACACCGAACCCCTCAACAGGTTCATCTTGCTGAAGCCAAAGTCCTCCAAAAGTGACAAGCCTGAAAGCAGGGAGCCCACATCATCCCCATGAGCTGGCGGGGGGAGGGGGCCACGGTGGGGCTCCCCTTTTTCTTCCCTGAGGGGTGGCAAGGATGCAGGCAGCCACCCCTTCAAGTCCCCAGAGAGACCGAACTGGGGCATCCTCCATGCCAAGACCTTGGAGAGGGAGGCAGGTGCTGGCTCGCGCCCTGGCCTGACATTAATGGAGGTGATGGCTGGCTCAGCCTCAACTGACTTGAAATATATATTGAATATCCGTATTATAAGAGATTTTTCCTTCTCACATGAATGCATGAGGCGCTGAGAGGATTTTGACTCTTGGGCAATCCAGGTGGGAGATGGAGAAGGGAGGGGGGTCATGAAAGTCGGGGTGTTTTCTGCGAGGCGGGGGGGGAAGGCTGGAGCATCACCCCACTGCAGAGACGGAGCAGTGCTGGGGGATGTGGCTGTGCCAGGCTGATGGTGCAGGGTCCCAGCATCTCCCACCCCTGCCGTGAAGCATGGGGTGCTCCTGGGGATGCCCCACCACCTCTGAGCTGATTTTTGCACTTCTTGAAGCTATTTCAGCACTTGCTGTGGAATTGAGATGTCTCAGGAGAAACTGGTTTTCCTTCCAGGGGACTCTGCTGGGGTGAGCAGCCGGGCAGAGCCAAGACCCCAGCATTCCTGGGCTGTCCCCACCCCAGCAGCCCTC